ATGCGTGGGGCTGGACGGCGTCAACGTGCTAACGAGCTAACGAGCTAAACATGCTAACGAGCTAACCGCGCTAACGAGCTAACAGCGCTAACCCTAAAATCCTTTCATTCTCTCAAAAGTTGACAGCGCGCCTTATGTATGAATTCTGGTTGTGCTTGATGGCCGCGAACCGATTTTATGTGGAACACGGCGCTCAGCAATCTGTCAAAAATGTTTGAGTACGACTTTGGTAAGCTACGGAGCTGCACCGCTTGATAGATTGTCGGCGCATTACGGCTACCGAAGAGCTTCGCGGAGTGATACGTACTGTGCATCAACGTAATATTACCTTGTGTGTGTATAAGGACCATAAATGGCACCTGTAAGAGACGTGGTTATGAAGCGGATTTCAAACTCCAGGCTGTCAGTCACACAGTAAAACTTGGGAACAGAGCAGCTGTGAAATCTGTCTTTGTTATTGTGCTCAGCGTCTTTTAGTTTATATTTTGACTGCACAATTGTGAGCTCTTTGTTTAGCACAAAAACAACCTTGTTTTCTTTTATTTATGGAGCATTATTATTTAATGAATGCTCATAATTTAATTTTGAGTAATTTTTCATGTACATCTGTGCTGTATGTTAATAAAAGTGCCTGTGTGACATCTGGGACACAGCTTTGACTAAGAACTCTTTTTGTTCTTACTTTATGGCTTAAAAAAAATATATCGAGATACATATCTTATATCGCCATCCAGCTAAAAAATATCGAGATATAAATTTTGGGTCATATCGCCCAGCCCTACTTTTTAGGTATATGTACAAGTAGCGGTAATTACAAGTACGAAACATGTACTGTGCTTCATAAATGAGTAACAAATGTAGTACATAACAATAACCTACAGCACACCAGAAAAATAGATCCGGACTACCTTTTAGGCTCAGGTGCAGTGACACGGCTTTAACAAGAAGAAAAGTCAGTCATTCACCATCTTTCTCTTCTTCCTGCACTGAAACCACCAAAGTCCTCTTCTCCAGTGTCGGACACGAACAGGCTCAGGATGGCTTCGTCATCCACTCTCAGCTTCTCTCCTTCGTTGTCACTTTCAAAACCAAACAAATCCTCGTTGTCAGTGTCGAACACTCTCAGAAGGGCCGTGGCGGTGTCCTCCTCTCCATCATGCAGCAGTCCAGCCCTTCGAAATCCGTTGGTGATCGTGGATGTTTTCACACTTTTCCACGCTGTCAGGTTCCACCGGTGGAGTTGAGCATAACTTGCTTTTCGCAAGTTTATCGCCGCTGGTCATCCACGCCTCCAGCTGAACGCGTAGCGCTACTTTGAAGTTTTTTTCGCGCTACTTGTACAGCACTATGTTGCCTGGCGGATGGACATGTGACCAACATACCACTCTTGAACCCCGATACTGTGTGTCTGATCACATGCCCTTCCGCCAGGCAACATAGTGCCGTACAACAGCGGAACAAACAAAACAAATCCTCTTATGATATGACAAAAATCACGGACAATCCATAGAAAAGCCGCACCTGACTAAAAGCCGCAGGGTTCAAAGCTTGTGCAAAAAGTAGCGGCTTATAGCCCGACAATTACGGTACTATAACCACACTACGGATAGACAAGTGACTCTTTTTATGCGCTGTCATTAGCAACAACGACGGTAAAACCATTGTGTGGCTCCACCATCCTCTTGTTTATTTTCCACATAAACCTTTCACAATAAAGCTCAAGATCCTGTTAAGATTTTCCAAATAAACTGAAATGGTGACAAACAGAAGGACCAGTCAAAACAAATCGAGGACCTTATTCCTAAACGAGGGCCTACCTCTGTAGCATGGACATGGTTTGTTTATGAAAAGTCTGACGCAGACCAGAAAACTGAGCTATGCAAATTATGGTGCAAACTGGCCTCAGACTCAAACAGGACAAGCCTCTTGTACCACCTATGAAAGAAAAAAAACCCACTCGACTCCAGGTAAACGACGCCCAGCTGAAAACACTTCACATGAGTCGAGCTGGCCGAGATTCAGCGAATTAACAGGAAATGTCAAATTTTTGTGATATATATCGTTGTCAGGACGATATACGTCTTATTTAGGGATATGAGATTTTGGTCATATCGCACAGCCCTACTGCACAATCAGAATCACAGCATGGAACCAGAACCTGAACTTGCTATGGTGTCACAACCAGATCCTGTTATCAATAGATTATACGATTATCTTATTTGATTTACTCTGACTGCAGACAGGAAACACACAGCATTGTAAACAGGAAGTGGCTTTACCACGTGATCCATATACAGCTTATGAAATTAGCGAAAGCAGCAATTGTGACTCCACCAACACACTAATTACACAATGAGGATCAAATCAGACTCACCTGATGGAGGAAGAGCTGTGGGGAGAGGGAGAGGAGACAAAGACAGCAGGTGTAGTGGGAGCGAGGAAGAAGAAGAGTCTTCAGGTTCGACATCTCTTGTCTTTGTGTTGTCTCTCCTGATGTGATCTGCACACAGAATAAGAAATGGATGCTTCTGATCTTCATCAGTGTATTGAAGAATATTTCACGAAGCCTAAAAACTGAGTGTCCACATGTCTTCTGCTCTTTCTGCTTAGTAAATAGATTTTATTCAAGCTCGACAGGAACAGCTGAGAAGAGTTTGTATGTATGAGTTCAAATGCTGAACTGATTTCCAATGAATAAAAAAGAGGGTTGACAGTGAGGGTGTAAGCAGTCACTTCAGATTAAACATTCATCCATCTTCTTCTGCTTATCCAGGGCCGGGTCGCCCAAGCAGAGAAGCCCAGACCTCCCTCTCCCCAGCCACCTCCTCCAGCTTGTACGGGGGAACACCAAGGCGTTCCCAGGCCAGCTAAGAGATATAATCTCTCCAGCGTGTCCTGGGTCTGCCCCGGGGCCTCCTCCCGGTGGGACATGCCCAGAAAACCTCGCCCAGGAGGCGCCCAGGAGGCATCCTTGTCAGATGCCCGAACCACCTCAGCTGACTCCTTTCGATGTGGAGCAGCAGCTCTACTCTGAGCCCCTCCTATATGGTCGAACTTCTCACCCTATCTCTGAGGCAGAGGCCAGTCACCCTTCGGAGGAAGCTCATATATTGTAAGGTAGACCCTACAATAATACTTCTTAGCACAACAACACCCTGAATCTAAATTGATAAATCAAAAGAACTAGTCGCATGAAAAACAAATGAATAAATTTCAGATTGATACCGGCTTCAATGAAGTAAACAATCATTGAAATAATTAGAGAGAAATCTGTCATCACTGAGGCTCCATATGGAAACCCCCGCAATCAGCCATTATAAGTGGCTGATATCATTGTGGCTTAACTGAAGTTTCATGTAGTTACACTTTTAATGAAGATCTGTGTGCTTGTGGCATGGTTATATTTCAGCAGATCAGTCCGCCTCCACGAGTTTGCGCTCCTTTCAGGAAAACACTGACCTAAATCTGTTGACGGCAGCACCATTGCAGCGACAATAAAACATCTGTGGAAGGATATTTGATGCAGCACAATGCTCGCAAGATACCAACCCCCATGTTGCTCTCCGATGCATCCACCGGAGTATGAATGTGTGTGACTGTTAGATAGTAAGCACTTAGAGACAGCATAGACAAAAAAGTGCTGGTGTGAATGGGTGAATGGTGAGTGCTCAGCCAGAGTAGAAAAGCGCTAGATAAGAACCAGTCCATTTACAGTCCGATGAATGATAAGGTTAGAAATTATTTTAACAACACATGCTCACTGTTGCAGACATTACATTTTTTAGTTTTCAGCTGTTTTTCATTTCCTCTCCACATTCAGCAGAGCAGAATTTCCTGCGGAGGTTTCCATCTGTGAGCATGTTGTGTCAATCTGAGACAAATCAATCTTGACAAACTATAAACTGAAGAGAAACCAAGCTCCTGCCAGAAAACATCAACAACACGAACACACACCCACGTTTGACTAAATAAAAGCTAATTTAATCTGCATTTGTTGGCTTCCAAAAGCCTCTGACTGCATCTGAACATCGTCTCAAACAAATGAACTCAGAGGATTTAGACAAGAGAAACACATCTGTGTCTATTTCAGTGATGCAGACTCAGGCTGCAGCCAGTCAATAACCTGTTCCTGCACCCCTGAGTTTATTCTTTAAGGCAGCAGCTGTTCTCAGGAAGCTCCTCACAAACAGCAGATAAAAATATAAAGACACACAACAAAGACCTCTTAAAATGTCAATGCAACAAACCATCTGCAGATGATCATGCTACAAGTTGCAGGAAGAAATTTCAGCAGGAGATGATGTAGAAACATAATGCCACATTATACAATAAAAGAGGGACATTAACAACTCAGTATTCATTTGAAAAGTGCAATGCAATAACGTAAAAAACTGCACCACAGGTGAAAGTTGAAGTAATTTTGATATTACTTCATTCAGAATATTTATGAATTCTGTTCTCTTGGCCTGAGCTGTGTCAGACTTAAAAAGTTTCCTGGCCTTTCTTTTTTACTGAACTTTTGCTAAATAATTTTCCTGGTGCTGGGGTTTCGGAAGTAGCCGGTAAGATCCCAGAGATTATAAAGAACCAACCCAAGTTGAACCAGTCTATTTGGGGACAAATGATATCTGATATCAAAAGACGGAGGGGGTTGGTTTCGTCCACCTACACAGCTTGATTGCCTGGATGTAATCAGTCTGTAGAGACTACAAGGTGGCTATTATAAATAACATTAACTTGCTTCTGGAGCACAGAGGGCTTTACTGGAGGGATGGTATATGGATGGTATGGTAACATAACCAAGTTGGTTCCTGCATGTTGATGGCAAACATATCTTATGGTTTACAGCAGCGGTCTCCAACCTTTTTTGCGCCACGGACCGGTTTATGTCCGACAATATTTTCATGGACCGGCCTTTAAGGTGTCGCGGATAAATACAACGAAATAAAACCAGTACCGGTACAAAAAGAAAAAAGATGTGTTCATAACACACAGGAAAAGACCCATGGAAACCCTGAAAATGTGAATTTCACACCCAAGCCTCAACTCTCGCAGCCCGGTACCAAACGACTCACGGACTGTTACTGGTCCGTGGCCCGGGGGTTGGGGACCGCTGGTTTATAGCACTCAAATGTTCCGCCTTTCTCTGGGTTATATATAACAACGGTTATATTGCCTAATCAATCACAGCACTAATCCTTTGGGTGACTGGTGCAGCTGTATGTGTCCAAGCCATTCTCAAATCATAACCCACTTACAATAGGCATGGACCTGCAAATTCAGACTTTACTTATTTTGGCTGAATTGTGGCAATAAACACCCAACTCAAACCACCAAGAGACTGTGTCTGGGCCCAGACCACCTAAACAAGAAAACAAACAAAGCCGTTTTCAACTGTACCAGGACAGTTAAATGTATCAGACATTAGACCTCTCTCTTCTAAGTCCTATTAGTAAATGATTTAACAAAAAGTACAGGCTGAGTTGAAGGCTGAGTGAATCTTTCACTCCAGCTTATTAATTAGCCAAAGACCGACACACAGTTTTACTTCAAAGCCTCAATCTTAGGGTGTTTAGTCCATAATACTCTGGTTCCTTTCTGGTTCATTCATTCGTCGTACTCTGGTTCACCCTGTATATTACTCTTTTGTGCAGATGCGAACACAGTATGCGCACTCGAGTGTGGCCTAAAACAACTGCACCAACGTCCTTTGGTGGAGGTGATTTTGGTCCAGAGGGGTTCATTCATGGTGTACATGTGATCTGAGCTGAACCAACTACCATGTGTACGCTGCAAGTTTGAGTTAAAAAACTTCCAGTAGCCACATCTGCTTTGTTACTATAGATATGCAAAGGTCTGTACAGGCTAGCAGCTAGCCACAAAGTAAATCCCGTAAGTTCTCCAATAGTCATAAAGACAACACCTTCTTCTTCAGTTTAGTTTATTTTTTTCATGTAAACAAACTAAAGCTACAAGTTTACAAACCTGTCAACTGATTTGTAAGTAAATGGACGATAATGCCTTAAGCCCCACCAGGCTAAGTGCGACACAGATGAGCTGTGCGTTTAGGCTGATAAAAAGTCCAAAAGACAAAACAGAAATCCAGTTAGCTAATGAGTTACATAGTCTACAGGGGAAAATGAAACCACATACAAAGGCAAACATGGAAACGGGTAACACTAGGGCATGCAAGCAGATATTTGGACCAGATAGCAACTGAACATACACAAAGGGGTGTTTGCGGCAGAGAGGAAACACCTGGGAAACACAGGTGAGATAAATACCAACAGAGACTAACCCAAAGTAAGAAATAAAGAAACAGTAAACGGCACATTCTAACATACAAACTTGATAATTGGATAAAAATAACACAGGGGAGGTGAGGTACACTAAATCAAAAACTCAGGTACTTAAATATAAACTTTAACATGAACAGAATCCAAAAGCTATACCAATACTAAGAAGACCTTGGACTATCAACACGAATAAACCAACCAGAAACTGCTAAAAGGAAAAAAGAAAAGAAAAACAGAGAAAAAGGAAAAGAATACAACAAGACCAAACACAAACTCCCATGGTTCATTACTCATTTAGAAGATCGTTTAGCCTGGAGAAATAGTTTGCTGCTTTATAAGAAAGCCCTCCGCAAAGCCAGAACATCTTACTATTCATCACTGACTGAAGAAAATAAGAATCCAGGTTTCTCTTCAGCTCTGTAGCCAGGCTGATAAACAGTCAGAGCGCTGTTGAGCCAACCATCCCTTTAACGTTAACTAGTAATGACTTCATGAACTTCTTCACAAATAAAATTTCAATCATTAGAGATAATTCTGAGAAGCTTCTTCAGTTCAGAACTGAAGAAGCTTCTCGGATGAGAGGTGAAACGTGTTCAAGCAACTTAAAGAAGTCCAGGTGTTTTTTTTCAAATGATCTTCTTATGACCTCTGACAGTGGACTCATCTCTGTGCTTGTCCTGCTAGACCTCAGTGCAGCGTTCGATACTGTCGACCATAATATCCTATTAGAATAGAATAGAATAGAATTCAACTTTATTGTCATTGCACATGCACAGGTACAAGGCAACGAAATGCAGTTTGCATCCACCCAGAAGTGGTTTAGCCATGATATAGATATATTACAATATATATTAGCAATAATATAGATATGCAAGTATATTACAGAAATGGGTCTATTATGGTATGTTATAATGTACACGGTATGAAGTATGTTGTGAATATTCTATAACTATAAGTATGTACAGGCTGTAGTGAGTACAAGCTATGTACAGGCTATGAACAGGATATAAATATGAAAAACTATACAGAATATGAAATAAATAACTTTACAGAATCTGAGATATACAGCTATACAGAAATGGGAACTGTGCAAGTTGTAAACAGTTGTAGGATTAAAGATTATCGTATGTACAGAATGATTATTTACACAGGGCTATACAGCAGTGCAGTTAAGATAAGTGAGGGTGTAGATAGTTTCTACAGA